GTATTATTTACCACTTGGACTGTATGATTTTCATGAACTTGTAACAACTATTGTACGTCAACTTCTAGATCAATGACCCCCATCTCGATCACGTTTTTGGTCGAGTTTCCTTGGTCGTTGAGCAAATGCTGAGATGGCCCATTGTTTTGTTTCTGGACATAAATGCAACTTCATTTTCTGTGCATGTCCTTTAGAATTCAGTAGGAAATATACTCGTAGCATGATGAGAAATAACAGCCCAATTCTATTCCTGAGTTACACTTGAAAACATATTTAATTACATCGGGGAAAATATTTTGTTATAAATCCTTACCAAAAACGCTCATTTCTTTGTATATTGAAATATCAACGAGTATACGGCTCTGGGGAGAGATCACAGAATTAAGAAAATGTGCACAAATTTAAGTTTCTTCGTAGCACGTCGCATACCGTTTTTAAACTGTTTTTGACGAAAATAAATAAAAATAAATAAAAAACAAATAGCTACATACATGTGCTTCATATATCTTATAAAGTTACTCAACTTTTCGGTTACAATAAGCTCGAAATTTCACATTTTCAAAATCGTTCAAGAGTTATTCCCTCAGAAACTGATTCAAATTTTTTTGTTTACATATTTTTAACAGACAGTTCTAAATGGACTAAATAACATGACATAAATGCTACTTTAATGTATTCTTTTGTGTTTTAAAACAAATTACTCATGTGTACTTTCTTTCAAATATCTCTCCCCGTTAATATTTACTTTAGCAGCGATATGTGTACATGATTGATTTTGTGAGTATAAGTGATTTAAATGATTTTCAATAATTTTACTTGAAAACTCAATTTTTCTGTGAAAAACAACTTCAAATTTTGCATTTTCAGAAACACTTAAATATTTTCTCAAAAACTGCTACAAATGTTTCAAAAAAGTCCATATAGGACGTCATTTCACTCTACCATAACATTCGTTAAATCATATTTCAGTTCTACCGGCGATAGATGGCAGCTAGGAAGAGGGTGGGGCAATAACAGAAAGGTATCCCGAACCAAAGAAATTAGAAAAGTATTAAGTAGGACGAAGTCTGTTCCATTTTGTAGCACCAATAGTTTTCTATTTTTACCCTATCAAATGAAGAACGGTGAAGGTTATTTGCGATTTCAGTACAGTGTATGTTATGGCTAAACATCGAAATAAATTCATCAGTTGCAGCAGAAATCTTTTTGATGCCTATATGGATGGGTAAAAGGAAATAGTATTTCACAATAAACAAACATTAACACTAAATTCAAATGTTATCTTCCTGCAGACAAGTTTCGAAGCATTTTGGTTCATCGTCACTGTTCCTTGCCGGACATATAAAGGAAAAAATATGAAAGTATATATACAGAAGAGTTAATGTTCTAAATATAGAGAAGGATAAAATGAAAAGGAAATAATACAGTTGAAATAAAACGACACACTTACCCAATAGTTCAGTCGAGGGGTATTGAAAAAGGGAGGTTGGAGCACGCAATTTAGGCAGATAGGGTAAAGTTGGGAGGTTTAAATTGCATTTATCCTGTTCATGGGAGTTATTGAATTTTACACATTTAAGAGCTTTAGTATACTAATTTTTTCTGATGACCATAATCCTGACATCTTTTGCATCTCACAATGAATGAATTATTGAGTTCCACTGTTACTGGAAAGTCTATTGATGTTAACTAGCTTTTGAATGGTTGTTCTGTCATTTACTAAGACTGCTCATAATGGCATGGGAAATTTATCAATCTTAGGAGTCGGCTCAATTTAATGTTCTCTGTATTAGCTTTGAATAGAGAAGTAATAGACCAATGTGACGTCACAGAGACCTGCTTCGAGCCGAGCAGCCGAGAAAGGCGAGAACCGCGGAGCCCGACAGGGCGGCGAGCGCACAGTGTTCCAAGTGGTGGGAAAAGGTTCGCATGGAAAATCGATAATCACATTTTTTAAATGGTAATTAATATTTAATTAAGTGTTTAAGATTTAATAACAATATGAAGAATAATATAACTTACATTATTACATAACTCAGAGCTATAATCATAACCAGCACTGTAATTCCACTTCCATTCTTATGCTAGATAACAAATGTGGGAAATTTTAACATTTTAGGACAATAACATTTTTTATACAATGGTATATAAAATAACGAATTAGTTTGTTCGTAAGCAACAATTAATGTTAACAAATAGGTACCCGGTGGGGTCCTGTGAGAGAATTTGGACCACAGGCACGATTATTTTTGATGTACAGTTTTGTTTGAGAATGTTGTAAATCCTCGTGATTTTAAGCACCTTTTCCATAATCTTCAATCTGCAAATTCTCTTACTCATACCATGATTTCGGGCTATTTAAGTTCTGCAAATGTATTTTTATCTCGTAGATTTCTTTGGATCGCAAAGCTATGTAATACATCTTTAGATTGGACTTTTTAACATACTTCAGTCCTTTTGAACACACAAAACAAGTAGCTATTAAATGAAAGTGTCAATAACAAGCGTATTCAGAATAGTGAACTAACTCGGTGATCTAGTTAAGTTGAATATCACCAGACAGCGAACCAGCTATGTTACAAGGCCACGCGTAGTGAAAGGCACAAATCTTCCCTGAGAAATCTAAGCCCAGCATGGAATTGTATAGTCTAATAATAATAATAATAATAATAATAATAATAATAATAGTAATAATAATAATAATAATAGCTTTGTGAAGTTCATCAATTTCGCGTTCTTCGTAGGCAATCGGCACTCCTCGTATTAGTGTATTAAAGGTTTTGACTGATGTGTCTCTGAACGTGGAATACTGGCACTTATTCTGGTCTAGAAAGTGAATATTTTTTTTCTGAAAACATCTAATGAGTTAAGAATAGTTTTAGTTGATTTTACTTTTATTTGGATGGTAACGTTATCTCTAATCGTGATTTTTTGAAGCGTTAGGGTTCATATTTTTTTACAGACGATTTTTTTAAACATTACTTCATTTCTTAATAGTGCAATAGTTTCGGGAACTGTTGCCCCCCCCCTTTAGGCTGTAAAATTAAAAGTTGAAATTATACAGTACAAAATTTAACACTATTTACGATACAATATTAAAATGGAGAAATTATACTAGGAAAAAACTTACCAGACACGTGCGAGCTAACAAATGGTTTTTACATTAACATTATTGTACATGGTCTGATCTCTTGTCTCCAAGGTTAACTTATTAACGAGTTCTTTTAGTTTATTATCTCGTGAATAAACGTTGGGGTGTTTCTTTGTGGTTCATAGGCTCTTTAGGGTTGGTCGCAAGTTGGAGATTATTCTCGCGATCTTCATTCATCTGATGCGCGAACGGGGCAAATGTGTTCTTGATTGGTACACTCGTTTGTGGAGAATGGTTCTTGCGTTTGGCGCCGGTTATGTGAAGGTTGCTGAGACTGCGTTTTCTCGGGTCTGGCCTTAGTTCTTGAGCGTTGCTTTTGACGACTGATTCGTGAAAGAATTGATGTTTCTGCGCTGCGAAGACATGAGGGACAGGGTGTCCTCCCAGAGGGCTTTGAGTATGAGCACTACGCTGCTCACAACGGTGGCATCGTATCCCCAATTTTTGATCAGCGAATTGAAACAAGAAGTGCTGCTTATTATCAAAGTGGTGTAATTCTCACCATTAATGAAAGAATTTTGTCGGAATTAATAGATGGAGAATTACGAGTATAGAGATGATTTAGCTGCTAACATAAATTAGAGTGTTGATTTAGCTGCACTGATCAGAAATGGAAGGATGACAAAGGATGAACTTTTGTCCTTCAGGGATACACCACATAAATTAACATTCAATGTAGGAACTGCCATATATTAGAGAGAAATATAAGCACAAAGGGGAGTTCACTGAATGATATATGAACGAAGGTAATTTAACGAGAATGGTTAATGAAAATAGATAAACATTTGAGTAAAATCTGAGAAAAATTGTTTGTTATTGTAGAGATTTATGTGAGATAAAAGACAACTAGTTTCTTATTATGTTGGTTGTACTTTCATAAAGTCAAAAAAACATTGTTCTCGAGTATTCTCTGAATGGGACTAAATGGGAGATTACATCGAACAGTTCATGAGAGATTACATACAACATTCTTCTGCCCCATACGTCACATACAGTTTCTACTGTTTTTTGGCTAAATAAATCAGTAATAAATAATTTTTTCTCATAAAGGCGTTAATTTCCTCTTCTGAAGAATATAGATTTTCAAATATATAGAGATCTTGAGGGTTGCAATTCGAAGTCTGGCTGGAAGAAACATTTAAGAATGGGAAGAAACAAAATAAATTATGTATGTTATTTATTTAAAAAATGTAATAAAGATATAAATAAAGTTGTGTTATAGTAATCATACTGAAATTGATTCCAAAAAGCAGAATTACACCAAATGTGCGCTTTCCATATTGTCTCATTAAGCAGTCACAAATTCTGCTACTTTTTCACCGGAACAAATCAGTTAACTTTTAACCCAGGAGTACACGCAATATGGGAGCGAAGGCCTCCTCGGCTGGAGTCAGTAACTTCTTGGCAGTCCAGAAGACGCTGCGTCCATAAATCTTGGTGAGAGACCTTATCTAACTCGTTGATAATTAAATGTTACGAAGTGCATTTTTCAATGATTTTAGATAGAACTTAAATATCTTGTGAAAGCTGCTAACAGAGCTATATATCATTAAAATGAGTAAAAAATCGATATCACGCCAACAGATGGATATCTTACAAATACATTGCGTGTGCTGATGTGTCATTTTGCAATATTGGCTCACTCTCAAGAGGTTTCGCTGAATTTTCGAAAAAAAAATCATAAAAAGCGGTCGCGGGGCAGCAAAGACGCGATTGCGCTCAAAATTTCAAATATCAAATCCACACCAGTCACACTTTGAACCGGGCAAACCATGGGTCCTTCTGATGCATTAATATATGAATAGAATGATGTCTGCGTTGGGTGGGCGTTGGCTTGCGAGGTCCCGTGGCAGTCAGGGCGCGAACATCTTGCTGACGGGCACCCGTGCGAAGAACGGATCCACCACCAGGCTCTTGATGACGCCGGACCACACGCGGTTCGCTATGGGTCCATACAAGGCGTACGAGGCCCTCCAGTTGCGGTTCAGGAACTGGTTGGCGTATATCCCTGCAACACCAAGGGTTTAAACCATAGGGTGCCTCGCCGCCACGAACAATAGAAGAGAAAGTTCAATGATAATTGATTAATAGATTTATTATATTGTGTTTCTGGTACCGTCGGCTGCTATGGTAAATACTCCCATAAGCGTAGTACATGCTTTCTCTCTGCGAAGTTCCTGAAACGTGAGATCCGGTGAAGCACTACACGCCGGCTTGAGGAGTTTCCCCATCCAGTTATCTTGTCAGAGGAACAACTCTCTACCCGAAATAAGCTTCAAGCTATTGGCAGTTATTTTGACATGTGTGTTGGTGAAGTGCATAAACGTAAGTGTGTGTGTGTGTGTGTGTGTGTGTGTGTGTGCAACGGCAGAGGAGGGAACAAGAAACCGGGAGAAAGATGGCGCTCGGCACATGGTTCGTCGTACTGCTACGACATTCGCCTGCATTTGATCGGGGAAACCACCGAAATGTACCGATCAGAGCAGGCGGACAATAGAATTATCTTACTGATAGTATCTAAACTCGACCTAGATATCTTACTGGCACAAAATTCGTCAATATTGGAACACGAACTGTAGGACCTCCCGGTGAGATACGCTGCACTGGCAATGGTTATTGCCTTCAATTATTTCAAGCGATGACTTCAATAATAGAGGAATAGGAATTTGTAGGGTAATGAATCGCTTGCACGACTCTTTTCATGTCACACGCTATTCTTATTTTTGGCACATTGGTTGAAAAGATACAATTTAATAATACAAAAGCATATTCTCAAGCACAGCCGAGTTTTTAGTTATATTTTTAATCAATTTTCAGTAACAGTGAAAAGGGATTTTCTCAGAAACAACACGAAACGTTTTTCTGAAAATTTGCATTGAAAAAATGTGTCTCTAATAAGACTCGGTAAGTCTCACTCCAATTAAACTATTTAAGTGCAAACGAAATTGGAAATTAGTAAATATGTTCATGTTTTTCGATAAAACACAATTTCTACAAAATATATAATACAGAAAAGCAACCAAACCATTGTGGTCATTCAGAAGATCTGTAAATACTCTTGTCTAAAACATTTTCTATAAAAATACTTAGTTTTCAGGTGTTGTTTCATTACTGAGTGTTTCAGATGTTTCATTACTGAGTGTCGCTCCGGCACTCGCGTTGTTTTATAAACCTCTCTCACTTCTAAGATAATTTGTTTTAAAGAGAACACACACTTTAAAGAGAATTTCTTTTTAAACGGAATAGTAAATAAATAGACATTTAAAAAGTAACTCACTAATTCTCATTATATATTTTTGAGATGTGTTGTAGAAATTTTTCTTCTCAATAGACAATACAAACCAACATAAAGCACAATGCGAAAAAACATTTCTGCGGCAATTCCACGGCGTCACAATGAGAACTAGTGGTGGTACAGAATGATACAGGCTTTCCCGTATTAGTTTTCTATTTTCTGTGGTCTCGGACTTGAACTTGCCACATATTCTTGCCTGCTGCCATCTATCGCCGCCCAAAGTACTTTTTTTTACATTTTATTAGTTTTTCGGCTTCCTAATTGTAGAGCGGAAGTATAATTTTAAGATTATTAAAGAACAGTAAAGCCTCGAAGTAAATGGCAATTTTCATTTAAAAAGTAGTATCCGCTTTTAAAAAACTGGCGTTTAAGCACTTCTTTAATTCCAAATTTGAAGCTCTTTTTCACAGAAATTTTTGAGTTTTCGAAAAACTTTATTTAAAGTTGTTTTAAGAAATTTGACTCAAAAATACAATAGTGTTAGAAATTGTTGGAAATGTGCATATTAACGGCGTGAGACAAAGTTTAAACAATGACATTTGTGTAATTTTTGAAAAAACATTCAAAAATTGTATGTATATATATGTATATATATGTATATATATATATATATATATATATATATATATATATATATATATATATATATATATATACATTGCTCTAAAGTATTCGCACCATATTTGGAAGCAAGGAACTCCAGGGATACTAATTTGTATGTGACCTTTTTCATTTTAAACAATTTCATTTTTATATTACACGAGGAAGCTCTCGGTATAATGTTATTTAAACATTAGTTTGTTTCTCTGTAATTATGACCCCTGCCAAACGTGATGGATTTGCTTTTAGAGGCATTTATGGCCATTCCATTATTTTCCGCCATGTAATATAACGTATCAAGATCCCCTCGCAGCATTTCTTCATCTTCTTTCGAATTCTTAGTACGAAATGTTATGCAATAATATGCAAATACCCGAACGTTTGAGATTACGTGCACTGGCAGATCATCGACGAAGGCTGGAAATAGAAGAGATTCAATGACACTATCCTGCGGTATTTCTAACCTAACGCTTGCCTCGCACTCCAAACATTTAGTCAGGTTTCGCAGTCCTTTCACTTCGGAAGCAAATACTTGTTCATAATTTCAAACCTGAAATGCACATTGTGGGAAAGTATAAAATTGCCCACTTATAAACCTGAAAAGGGCGTTGTCAATCCGGGAGAAGATACCAACATAAAACTCATTATTTAGGGCTGTTATAATTTCTTTGCATGTATTTGCAGTATAAATATGAACGCCGTAATGAGCTATAGGAACCTTGCTAATCGTCGTAATAAGCTATGAAAAGGTGTACCTGGCACACGATTTCTGAAAATCATCCTAGGGAATTGTGGTTTTTTAAACCTAGGTACAATTCTACCTTCACTTTTAGACAAAAAAAATTGAATTATTCTCTCCCCCCCCCCATGCTGTTATTAGTACTTCCAAAGTTAGTTGCAACCTTTAAGTACTTTCAAATCACAAAAAAATATCTAATTCCATATTTTTATACAACTTGAATGATTGAATCAATAGTGCTATACAAATATGATGTGTTTGGATATTTTCCAGGAGGTTGGATTCACTGTGGAAAGTTATTGGAAAAGGTTAAAAAATACGTAAGAAATATTATAAAGAAAATACTTCACAAGTAATATAAGGGAAGTTGAAACGGAAACAAAAAATGTTTATGAATGTAGAAACGGGGAACAAAAGAGTTTGACAAGCGTGAAAGCTTTTAAAATTAAAAACGAGATGAGAAAATTGATTCGTCAGAAACAGAAAAACTCAAGGAATAGAAGAAATTAATAACCCTATCTTTTAACCCTACTGGATTAACAAAACAAAGAAGAAAGAAAGAGTTTGTATTCGCTATGATCATGGAAGAAAAATAATATTAAGTGTGAGACGTAAATCTTCTATAACTTTTATAATAAAATATTTTTATCATTACGTTTTTTATCATTTTTGAAGCACAAGAAATAGAAATTTTAGAGGAATGAAAAACTCTAAATGGAGGTGATCCAGAAATGGGAAAATTAGATTTTCATTCACTTTTCGAGTAATTGAGATGGAATTAAAACCGAAAAGAAGTATAGTTAAATGAGGATTTTGATGATAAAAGACGATGTATAAGGTGATATCGACAGGTTCAGCGATGAAATTGTGAATGATAATGGTAACTAGTGGTGCTACAGAATGGCATTGACGTTTCCGTATTCGTTGTCTACTTCCTTTGGTCTCGACTACATATTCGAACTTGCCACATACTCTTTTTACCTGCCATCTGATGCCGCCTTAAGTACACTTTTTCGAAATTTTCTTAATTTTTCGATTTCCTAATAGTAAACCGGACATATCATTTTAAGAACATTAAATAACAGTAAAACCTTGTCATTAATGGCATTTTTTTTAAAAAAATTGGAGCCGTTTCTAAGAAAATGTCGCTAAAACGCCACAGTAAATTCGAAACTTGATGCTCTATTCACAGAACATTGTTGTGTAAAACGTATTAGAAGACATTTAACGCACATTAACTGACAAATAGATGAGATATCTAAATAAAAATTACTTTTGCGTACTAACATAAATGTTGTTATCTTTCAGCGATGCCCCGTGCACATAGTAAAAGAGGAAAAGTAGTCGAAAATTGCTCTTGACAAGCAGGGATTGTCGAACATTGAAAAGTTTTGTCGCGAAGAGCGTCCGGTCTATCACGGCGGAAGGCAATGCAGAGCTCAATAAACATCTCGGCAGGCCTAGGGTCACAAAAATAGTGCAACGAGAGTTCCATAAGATCAACGTGCATGCTAGACCTCCTCAGTGTAAACCGTTAACTATTGAAGAGAACGCTCCACGGCGGAAACGATTATCTATGGGCAAACATTGTGAACACCCGAGGACTGGAAGACCGTGATGTGTCAACTTTCACACTGTTTAAAACCACGTAAAAGGAGAGTACGCGTGAATAACACAGAAAGTATCATAAGCTGTTTGCTTTCCACTACAAAACGTGGAGATAAATCAGTAATGTTTTAGAGGTTATACCTATAGCGAATTGCGGCCCTCTCATTTTCCTGAAAGGACACTCACTGCCAAAGAGAAATTTTAGAAACACGGATGCATGTTACGTACCATATTTTATTCCTCGAATGCGATTTTTCAAGATGCCACTGTCCTATTTCATACAGACGGAGATGGTCAGAATTCGTTTGAATAACATGAAAATTAACTGCTACAACTTCCATGGTCATCACAATATCCTGTTGATATAATTGCTACGCTTCTTCAATATCTCCAGGAAACACTATGACCCTACTTTGTACGAGTTTACTAATTTTACTACCGGAACGGCGTTAAAGTAATAAAGCTTTTAGATTTTAATTGCACCTCTTCTTGGATATTTCATCACTTTCTAATAGAGAGAGTTGAAAGTTGGATATGTGTATTGAATTAACTGTAATTTAGCTTTTTACTACGTTATAGTTTTTCAATTATCTTTCTCAGCAGAGGGTGATTATGTGATTATAAAGGTAGATTACCCAGTCGCTTGTTCCCTCGGAAGAGGTTCTTGAAGTGGCTGTGAAGGTGAAAGATGTCCTGTTGCCATGAGAACTCAGTGAGTCGCCAGTAGACCTCACCATTCCTCTCCTCCTCCTCCAGGCGCAGGCGGTGGGTCACGTTGGAACCTGCGCGGTTTAGCACACTCTCTTTCACACTCCTCTGTCTTCAACTCAAACATAAGGAGTACGCAAACACTATCAAACAATTCAAATTATAATATATTAGTCCGTATAGCATGTATTTCACGGATAAGTGAACTGCATTCTATAATTCGTGCTGTAATACGTTACTTTTAGTTCGCGAAGTTTAATTACAGAAGAGCAACGGCGTCACAACCACCAAAGTATTGTAGGGAAATGTTTATAGACTATAGACTAGCAGAGAGTCCTCTCCTATACACTACACACACCAATAGATGTTTGGAGGCAGGTGTCTCGAACGCCTCGTGAAATCATCTGCATTGAAACAAAAATAAGATGTTTTTGTGGCGAAGAGATATAGCAATGACCAGGGCCGCTGCGCGCAGGGTTGCCATACTGGGACATTTTGTTTACAAAATGGGGATTTCTTTCGTTGTGTGGAAAGAATATGGAGGGGGGAAATAGAGCATATATGGACGGGAAAATGTTGGGGAATTTTGAGGGAAATTTCATCCGAGGTTCAGAAAGATATATTATTTTCTCAATTATTATGAATGAAAAAACAGAAGTTATTCTCCCTCATTTTTCTCTATTAAGAAGAGAAAAATAAACGAGAAGCATGAAGAAAAAAGCCTAAGAAAAACGAAGATAGTGTAGGGTTTTGAGCGGATCAAAAATCAATGATTGGGTGATTTGAATTTCAGGAGGAAGCCAATGAAGTCGTCAGGAACATTTCATGTCTTTGGTCCGTAATTTGGATAATATTTTTCGTTTCAAGGTTGGGTAATTTTGTTTGACTGGAGAGGTTATTTGGGGAAATTCCGTGGACGTGGTGGGGAAAGAGCTCGCAATACATCAGGCAACCCTGGGGCTCGCGCGATCGGCTCAGGGAGGCCAAAGAGCAAGACCTAGTTAATAAACCATAATTCGGTCGGGTGTGAATTGTGCAAACGCCGCACATTTCATTTCAAAAGCGATGGAGATAGCAAATATTTTTCCTATCAAAAACTTAAAAAAAAACAAGAATATTGATGTCTTACCCCAATTAAAATAGGAATCTCCATTGCCGTTTATTCGGAAGGTAAGAATTGATCCTCCAAATTCATAAGGCCCAGCAAGGGTAATGTTTTTAAATGTAGTGACAAATTCTATGTATGGGGGAGAAAACTGGATCCTGGAAAGAAAATAAAAAATATACAGTAAATATATTTTAACTTACGAGTAAAACTAACATATACAAATAAATAAATACGTATTAAGAAAAATAGAAGACGATACTTTTGTATGCATATGTGCTAATTAAATGTTATGATTAACTGGTATTTACAAATAATTGATCATTAAGCCGTCCTGGGAGGCTAGAGGACATGGGGTAGCTTAGAAGTGCAAGGCAAAACAGCAATTTCGATTCCCCCGTAACACGTGGGTATTTGCAATATGCGGTTGTACTGATATTTTTCATACCATCACGTCTTAGTGACTGGAACGAGTAATTACCGCTATTTTGCTAAATTAGGCTCGAAATAGAAGCTGTGGGAGGCAGTTGCAAAATGACTGTAGAGTGAGAAAATTGTAATTAAAATTTGTGGCATAGGCTGATATCACGTGCAGCCAACCTCGTACACTGAATTACTTTATTTGTCCTCTGTGAGAAAGAACATTGACAGGATTTGGAAGTACATTAACCCATTCCCTTCAGGTTATTTTGACCTTTGCACTAGCCTTCCCCCACTGCAGCGCTTCTGACCGAGTGGCTGTAGGTTCGAGTCCCGACAGTGGCAAGATTTTCGACACCAGCTTGTCAGGTAGGTCGAATTGAGTCGCTGCGTGGATGAGAATTCTACAGGCTGGCTGCTCTGATCGGTAGTTTTCCGTGGTTTCTCCGATCAACAACAGACGAATGCCGGAGCAGTACCCTAACAAAGAGGAAGGAAAGACCGCGCGCGATCTTTCCTTCCTCTTTCTCGTTCTATCATCACCTGTATCACACACACACACTAGCATTAACTACACCACCACACATGCCGGGAGAGCGGACAGGAGCTTAGGGCATGTCGCGGCTGGGGCGGTGTCCCGCTGGAGGAAGATACCTGGTTGGGGGAAGACCCGCTAGGTCGGCGTTGGATTTCTCCATCCAGTGGGGGATACCCTCCGTGAAAATTGCACTACCCTTTCGGGACCAATTACCCCCGTTGTTGACTAACAACCAACGAACTAGCCTTCCCCTCCTATTTAAATGCCTCAGCCTACCTTTATTCTGCGGTATTTTAATTTAAAAAATATTGAAGGACTAGGTACAAGATCACCAAATTTCAACATAGTTCAGTCAGGATACGCACCAGTAAAAGTCGTAAACAGAAATACGTCAGATAAATTGCGCTAGAACTCCATCTTCAGTATCTCGAGTAATGTGTGCGGACCCGACTCACTCGCGTCTCCGAGACGTCAGAAGGCGGGATGACCATTCTCAACACGACTTTTGGCAGAAGACAAAAGACTTCAGTGGGGTAAAAAACATAGAGAGATAGATAACGAGAGACAGAGTGTGCAAGAGTTTGAGAGAGATTGAGAGAGTGTGAGAGAGGTTGAGAGAGATTGAGTGGAGTGGGAGAGAGCGGAGAGAGCGGCGAGAAGAGCGGGAGAGAGCAGGGAGAGAGCTGGAGAGAGCCGGAGAGAGAGCTGAGGGGGAGAGAGCTGGAGAGACTGAGAGACGCGGGAGAGAGCTGGACGAGAGCTGGAGAGGCTGAGAGAGCGGCAGAGACGAGACGAGGGAGAGAGCTAGGGGAGAGCGGGAGAGAGCTGGAGAGGAGAGATGCTGGATGAGAGGCGGAGGAGAGCTGGAGAGAGCTGGAGCAGAGGAGAGCGCTGGAGAGAGGCTGGAGAGAGCGGGAAAGCGGGGAAGAGAGCTGGAGAGAGCGGGAGAGAGCTGGAGAGAGCGGGAGAGAGCTGGAGAGAGCTGGAGACAGCTGGAGAGAGCGGGAGAGAGCGGGAGAGAGCTGGAGAGAACGGGAGAGAGCGGGAGAGAGCTGGAGAGAGCGGAAGAGAGCGGAAGAGAGCGGGAGAGAGCGGGAGAGAGATTGAGAGAGATTGGGAGAGACTGAGAGAGACTGAGAGAGACTGAGAGAGACTGAGAGAGACTGAGAGAGAGTGAGAGAGATTGAGAGAGTCACCACGCTCTAGGTCATCACACGATGATATTGACTCCGGTACTGGCCTGAAAGGCTAGTAGCTTCGAACTAGCGGTGCGGCCAAACCCTGGCATTGAATGGAATTTTGCGAAGAGTGCAAACGGTGTTCCAGCTAGATGGGGATATTGGCCCGTTGTCTTACATGTTCGGTGGCGGAGGGAGAGGATAAAAGCGAAATGCTCAGAAACCCACCCGGGCTCCACAATAGAAAATGAATATTTGTGGCTTTGTGATCACTCTAGGAATACACTATCACTGCTCGATACAGTCTTGATGCGACATCTAGCGGCACGATTGATAAAGACGCGAAACACAGTGAGGTATTCCATCATGAAAACAAGGAAACGCGCGCCAAGGAATGAAAACCCGAATGTAAGAATTGTATTTCATTATGATTTTGTGATTATGAAAACTTTTATTATTAATTATTCGAAAACGTTCGTTTGAAATTAACAGCCTTGATCGGTTCTGTTCACTTCTACCTTCTGGTTGGTGGTGATTTCAAACTCCGCCAGAGTCCTGAGCTACTATTACTGTAGCATCCATTTTAATCCAGGTGTGTAGATGACGTCAGAACTTCGGTTCTTACGCTAGCGTCAGTGAAGCTGCAGATTCACTATCGGTAAGGCAGTTTAAATTGTCGACGTCAGCAACACTCTCAAGTCGATGCATATACGATCTCTGATGTCCACAGATAAAGGTTGCGCACGTGGACAATACACTTGACGCGTAGCAAACACGCTGTGCTTGCGGTGTCCGGGTCAGAGCGTTTCTCTGCGGACTCGGCTGCTGCATGGCAGGACGTCTCGACAGTAGGATGGGCGAGGAGGGGAGATAAGTGGCGCTGCTTGAATTCCTGAAAGAGGGGAAAGGACAAGTTTAAGAGGAAGAAATTCCGACTTGGAACAAGTAGTTGGAACAAAAGGGGAGGGTCACACGCGCCACTTTGGGCGCCTGCGGTCAGATTGGACCAAAATCATGCATCAGAGCAGCTCTGTGTTACACCACTCAGTGGCACTCAGCGAAAGTTCTTTTCTCTGGGGAAGTTAAAACAGTACAATGAAGATATTTCAAAGGTGGAACGTGTCCCCATAACACATTAAAGCTGGTAGCGTCTGGAATGGAAGTCAACTTTTCAAACTTAATGCAATCACTTATGAACAATGAAAGGAAAAACATGGGTGGTTTTCCCAGTAATAACATAAGCCAATTAGTGCGCGAAAAACTGCTACGTTTACTGATGAATCAAATTTTGTGTTTTAAACTTTTTTCACAATAAGAGTACAGATGTCCTTGATGTCAAATCGAACCTTCAATAGAAAAGTGACGCAAGTGCGAAATGGTCATGTTTCAGCTAAAAGCTGATAAGATGTTACCAAGAGGTACTGCTGCTATTCTGAAGTTAATTTTGAAGTAGTTCAATTACTGTCCGCTAGAAGGTGAAGATTTGGTGCAATCTATAGTGAGTATTACAGAACTACAAAACTTAAAATTGCCATTTCTGAGAAATCAGAAATTTGTACTTGTGTCACTTTTCTATTGGGGTGCGAAATGTTTAATGTAATGACTCACCGAGCTTTGGTAGCAATAAAATCTGAGAGCCCACTCCAACTATAGTTGCGCCAAGCGAGCTGTAGATTGAAATCTTGTTCCCCTTCGTGCACCAAAATCTCACTTCCTCGAAATGGCTCTAGGGAGGGAAGGCCAAGTTCAGGAACACCTGCATTGAAATCCCATGTTAAGAACTAGAGAAAAGGAACGGATTGAGATGGAGTAAGAAAAGTGTGAAAAAGATAAAACGAAAAATCAAATTGGAGAGAAATTTATAATTATAGAAAGTTGGTCGCGAAAGCAAAGTATATGCAAAGTGCTTTAGTTCTCATTGTTCATACAGGACGCGATGATAGAGGACACTAAGTTATTCATGAGTGCGAGAGGAAATTGTGTAAGCCCTATTCACAATTTTGAAAAATTCATTTTTGTCATTGGTCATTGTTTGCAAAAATGTAGCCCATATATTACTTTAAATATTGTTCTCTGTTGCTATTATAGCCATTTTATCTAAGGAATATGCAGGAATAGAGAAAAACTATTATTTAGGTGTAATTTAGGATAGTTTATCATTTGCGTATTTAACCCAAATTTCGAATTTCCACCTCGTGTAACAACTTTGCCGGTTTGTGCCTTTATTTCTGCCGCCACGCTTTCAATGCATCGAAGAAGATCATCACGGACCCCGACGTCGGTAGCATAAACGCGGTCTTTCATTTACCTCAGCTACAAAAGCTTTGGGAGCACCTGCGTTATAAAATTCAGATACTGATCGCCTCTTAAACGCACGGGTAAGAAGTGAGGACCAAGGATAAATTCATTCCCAATGCCAACCGGCACATTTACAGAGCGCATTGGTGAGCAATACTACGTGTAACATACAGATTCTTATCGGCTCTCAAATGCAAATTATACACATTAATTGTGCTAGTTCTTGTAAAAACACGCTTCGCCTAACCAAATAATGAAATTCTTGGTTTTGTTTGCATTTGCGCAGAAAATAACTAGAGATTTTAAACGACATTGTGCCAAGTCTACCGTGCATGCTGCACGCGTTCGAAATGGAAAAGCCGTAATCTCTGAGCATGAATTGTTCGCCAGACGAGGGACGGATGCATTGACCTCGCGCGCTATTTGCCTTGTGCTCGCTTGCGGGGCTTCTCGGATAGTATTAGCAACTGTGTTTTCAGAGAACTGGGGAGCTCAGACGCGAAGTCAAGGCTCACTAACTTGCTGTAGCCCATGTAATACGAGCTCAGACGCTTAGTCCAAAGTTTAACTTACATTGTTTACAATAATAAACGTCGAAGAGTATCCAACTGTATCAAGTTCATATTCATTCATATTTATTCAAGTCTGTACATTACATATGGGATAATATCCCGGCATATTAGCAACGAGAACTGAATCACTCTGTATTTTGGCGTTTTTAATG